CTGCGGTGGCCAGGAGCGTGCCACTGCTCTCTAGTCTGGGCGACAGAGTGAGACTCCAACTCAAAAAAAAATAAAAAAAACCACTTCAAACTCAGGGTGTCCAAAATAGGGCTGTGATCTGCTCCAGATCTTCACTTCTGGTATTTTTAGCTCCTTACACGGCACCTTCGCGTAAGTCACTGGACAAGACAGAAGTCTGTGAGTCAACCTTGTCAGCTCCCTCTCTGTCATGCTCCTGTCTGATGGAGCAGTGAGTTCTGTTCTTTTTACTCCCTGAGTTCCTTTCGAGCTGGTACCTTTCTTCAGTACCTGCCATCTCCTGGTCCACGCTATCCTCCTTTCTCCTCACTGGCCTCTCACCTCCACTCTTGTCCCTCCGCTTAGTTCTTCTTCATTCTGTAGCCCGTGATTATCTGAAGATGTAAATCTGATGATGTCACTCCCTACCTTAGCACCCCTTAATGACTTTCCATGACTTTTAGGATATAAAACAAAATTCCTAACGTCCACAGAGCCCTCCCTAGCCTGGCAACTGCAGACCCGTTTGCTTCACAATCCAGTCACATTGGCATCCTTTTCTGGATGTTTCTTCCCACCACATGGCCTTTGCATGTGCAATTTCCTCCTGCTGGAATATCCTTCTCCCCTCCCCATTCTCTTTGACTTGGTTAACTCCTACTTATTTCTCTTCTATACGTCAGTTTTTTAGAGGAGTTTTTTTCTGGTATGCTAGACCAAGTGAAAAGCCCCCAGCATCCCTCCATTAGTGTCATGTTTCTTTCCTTCCTTGTGTTTATTCATTTTAATTTCCATTTCTGTGGCTCCCCTCTCCTCACCAGACTGTAATCCCCATGAGGACAGGCTGTTTCTCATTTGTTCATCCATATACCCCAGTGCCCAGTACGCTTGCTGTCACATAATGGAGGTTCAAAACATATCCAAAAAATAAATGAACATGTGCGCTTTGCTTTCGAGGCTCTTCCGCCTAGAATGTCTTTTATCTGATCCAGGTGTGGACTGTACCAGAGGTTTACCAATGATTACTCTCTCCTCTTACAATTCTTATGATGACCTCCAAGCTCACTTAGCCTTGATTTTCTAGACAAGTCTGGATGGTTTTCTCCCAGGAGAGCCTACAGAAGCCTCTGGGGATGGGGCCTGGGGAAGATAAGTGCAATTAACAAAAGCTTGTCCAGGAGAATCTGACCCACCACCTGCCTTGGCAAGACAAGGTAGCAGGAGGCCCCTCAAAATCTTAGGATAACCACCTGAAACATGGGAAGATATCCTCATGAAGGGTCTTTCCCGGGAGTCCTCTTCCTTATGCCTTCCCTCCCACTTCCACTCCCCTCAGGTTTTTAGGGTTAACATATTTACAAAGGAAAGAGCTGCTTTTTTGGGAATATTCATTCATTTGAAAGAATAGATCTTTAGAACTAGTGAAGTGGCCATGGAGCCGTCAGCTTTCTGTAAAACAGCCCAGCACTGTTCTGGAGTGTGTTGATTGCCCACCCCTTGAGCTAAATGTGAGGCTGAGTGGTAAATGCCTGGGTCCCCTGGCAAGTTCACTTCCCTCTGGGGCATGCTCAGGCCCCAAGGAGCCCTGAGGAGTTGTCTTTGCACAGCCGCCTGCCAACTGAATTTCCCAATGTTTGCTGTGTGTCCAAGTCAAGCAGGTATCTACGACAATGGGTACTTCTAACCATTTTCCCTCTCAAGTTGGCACATTCTCTGTGAGCGTCTGTGACTTTGCAGTGTGCTTGGGAACAACTTCCATCATCATCTGACTGGCAAGTTGTAGTTCTGTGGTAACTTGCGTCTTTCAAAGAGCTGAATACGCAATAGGGCACAGAGGTCGATTCTGCTTCTGATGTCATCAAATACACACTTTCACAATGTTTCCAATTTAGAGAATCATACCCAAACACATCTCCAAAACACACTATGTTGCCACTACTTTAGCTTTTTGAATTCACTTAAGTTATTCGTATGTGCAGAGAGGTTATTTAAAATTTTCTGATACAGATAATCTATTCCGATCCATGATTCTCATAGACTTTTACAGTATTGAATTATTATAAATTTTTATTCTTAAAATGATTTTCAAATCATCAAGGCTGGACGATAGTTTTGTAACCAGTTTCCCTACCTTATGAATGACTAATTGTCCTGGTTCGTTCAGGATACAAGAGGTACCTGGGATATGAGATTTTCAGTGCTAAAGTCAGAAAAGTCCAAGACAAAGTAGTCACCTATTACCATTTCTAGCTTTGAGAAGGAGGAGGTAGACCCAATCAAAGATAATTTGTATTTTCTATGAAAATACCAATTTAGCGATTGTGAGGAATTCCCTGAAACCAAGACCTTGCTAAGTTTCTCCTTCTCTCTCATTTAATATAAGAACTTATTGAGACATACCTCACATATCATACAATTAACGCACCATTAATTAAAAGTGTACGATTCAAAAGTTTTTAGTAAACTCACAGAGTTGTGCAGCCTTCACCATAATCAATTTGAGAATATTTTCATAGTTTCCAATAGAAACCTTGTAACTGTCAGCAGTCACTCCCATCTCCTTGCAAATCTCTCAGCCCCTGGCACCATTCAGGTGTTTTCAGTCTCTATAGCTTTGCCTTTTCTGGACATTTCATATAAACGGAATCATACGATACTTGACTTTTGAGTTCTGGTTTTTTTCATTCAATGTAATGTCCTCAAGTTTCATCCATGTGGCAGCATGAGGCAGAACTTCATTACTTTTTATTGTCAAATAATATTTTTTGTATGTATAGACCACATTTTATTTACCTAGTCATAAGTTGATGGACAGTTTTATTGTTTCTACTTTTTGGCTATTTAAACATTCATATATGCATTGTGTGGCTATATGTTTTTATTTCTTGGCTACATACCTAGGAGGAATTCCTGAGTCATGTGGTAACTCTGTGTTTAACCTTTTGAGGAATTGCCAGACTATTTTCTAAAGTAGGTGAACTATCTCACATTCCTGTCAGCACTTTCTGCACATCCTCGTCAACACTTGTTACTATCTGTATTTTTTGTTATAGCCATCCTAGTGATACTACTATGAAGTGGTACCTCATGGTTTTTATTTGCATATGGCCAATGACATTCAGCATTTTTTATATGCTTATTGTTAGAACTTTTTAAATGAAAAATTATAGCAAACATCAAGTGTGTTTTCAAATAACTGATGATATACACTATGCTTAAGATTGTATGAGTACTTAAATTAGATTCCTACAACGAATTTCTGCTATCTCAAATCATTCTACCTGGAGGCAAGTCTGCAAATTTTGTGTAAACCATTGACTTTTTCTCATGACCATAAATGGTCCCAGAGTAAGTCTCTGTCTTACTTGCTCTGATGTTGGGCCACTCTCTGCTGTCTCCATCAAGCCTCATTGCCCAATGGCCATCTTCTCCTGGAGCCTGCATCAGACAATGGACTATATGTTTCCTGGTCAAGCATGGTGGCTCATGCCTGTCACCCCAGCACTTTGGGAGGCCGAGGTGGGAGGATTGCTTGAGCCCAGGAGTTCTAGACCAGCTTAGGCAACATAGTGAGACCTTGTCTCTACAAAAAGATCAAAAAAATTAGCCAGGCGAGGTGGCATGCACCTGTAGTCCCAACTACTTGGAGGCTGAGGTGGAAGGATCGCCTGAGCCCAGAAGATGGAGGCTGCAATGAGCTGTGAGCATGCCGCTGCACTACAGCCTGGGTAACAGAATGAGACCCCAATTAAAAAAAAAAAGACAATTTCCTGTGTGTGAGACTAGATTTGTTCCCCAGTGCTTTGTTGATCAACTTCCTCAAAGGGCTCAGTACCCAATGGTCGTTTCTACTATTAGTGCTCTGTGGCCGAGGTCCTGGATATACTCACGGTGTCTTCTCTTTCCTTCATTTCTCACTAACAGATCCAAATAGGATCCAGGTCACCCTATTTCATCCCCTGCCCTAGCCTTCTCTTAACTGATTTTTCTCTCAACAAACACCACTGATTAGGGAGAAAAGTTCAGGATTCCTAGGAACACAACCAAGAAAATGATCTTCTTCAGAAAATGTACTCTCTATCCGTAATGCTCTTTGGAGCCTGAAAATGGGAACCAGTGGCTTTCTTCTCTCCTGAAAGGCCCTGTCCATTGCTGTGGGATAGTGATCAACAGTTTCTAAAAATGTCTGTGATTCCATTCCTCTTATTAATCAGCAACTACTACAAAGACAATGTTGTAGCATTTTAAACCCACTATTACTTGCTATTTATGGATTAAATAGCCACTATCTTACAGCTGGGCAGAGGGGATAAGGATAGTAACAATAATAGAAAATAAATAATAATAAATGAGCCAGACGCCATACTAAGTAGTGAAAGAGGAAGAATTTCATGGAGGGTGGTCTATGGTAAGGAGCAGGCTGCTGGGAATTATTATTTTGATTTTATTGACTGATTGATGGATTGAGTTAGAGTCTCACTCTGTTGCCCAGGCTGGAGTGCGGTGGCATGATCATGGCTCACCACAGCCTCCAGTTCCTGGATTCAAGTGATTCACCTTCCTCAGTCTCCCGAGTAGCTGGGACTAGAGGCATATGCCACCACTCCCAGCTAATTTATTTTACTTTTTTGTAGAGATGACGTCTCACTGTGTTGCCCAGGTTGGTCTCGAACTTCTGGGCTCAAACAATTCTCCTACCTCGACCTCCCAAAGTATTGAAATTATAGGCATGAACCATTTCACCTAGCTATTATTTCTATGCTATTATTCACTTTATAAAGAGATTTATTTCAGCTCAGGGTAATATGATCACATTCAAATGTCACAATGGTCCCTCTTGTGTTTAATCTCTGCTTTTCCAATACAGATGGCCCTAAGGATACATACTTGGGACAACACTGCCATTTTCAGTCTTGACCCAAGAGACCTAGGGTCCCTGTGATGGAAGTCACAAATGGTGTGTGTTGACTTGTGTTTTTCAGAGTCAAGGGGCCAGAGAAAGAAGAGAAGTTGAGGCAGGCAGTCAAGCAGGTGCTAAAGTGTGATGTGACTCAGAGCCAGCCTCTGGGTGCCATTTCGCTGCCCCCAGCTGACTGTCTGCTCAGCACGCTATGCCTGGATGCCGCTTGCCCAGACCTCCCTACCTACCGCATGGCTCTCAGAAACCTCAGCAACCTGCTGAAGCCTGGGGGCTTCCTGGTGGTGGTGGACGCGCTGAAGAGCAACTACTATATGGTTGGTGAACAGAGGTTCTCCAGCCTCCCCCTGGGCCAGGAGGCAGTAAAGGCTGCAGTGAAGGAGGCTGGCTATGTGATTGAACAGTTCGAGGTGATCTCACAGAGTTATTCTTCCAACATGGCCAACAACGAAGGACTTTTCTTCCTGGTGGCGCGGAAGCTGAGCAGATCTATGTGACACCTGTGACCTCAATGAAAGCAACTCCTTTGACCCGTCCAGCTGACTTCGGTTCCAGCTCTGCCAGTCATGTGCTGAGGAGGGAAGTGGCTGTGGCTTGATGGTTCATCTAGGACAGGGTTAAGAAGTTAATCTAGGAACAATTTGTTGATCACTCACCCTGTGCTCCACACGTGCTGGTATTACAGGACCCAAAAATGAGTAACTGGTACATCCAGTTTTCCCTGCCTCTGTTTGCAGAAGATCTTGCTTCCCTGACCACCCAGTTATGAGGACTCAAGGCCACACCTGTTGCAGAGACGTGTCTGCAGTTATTCACTGTTCGTTTCCTAGGGGAACCTGCTGCTTCCTTCTCTCTTGGGAACAGGCTTCTGCCGTCTGCAACTCTTGCCGTCCCCATGGAGAGGTTACCACACCCCAGCCTCTGCTGTTCACTGGGCTGCCCTGGGCACAGCTGTTCTCTGTTGGACTCTGCCCTGGCCGCAGGGGTCAGAAAACAGCTGTCTAGTATTTTTATTCATTCTGAAAATCCTTTTTTTTTTTTTTGCTACAAGGGTCATTCTGTTTTCAACTTCTGATTCTGCCACTTATTAGCTGTTTCTCCTTAGGCAAGTTATATAACCTTGCGGTGCCTCCGTTTCCTCATCTGTGAAATGGGATTAAAATAGAATTTCTTATTAAGAGAGAGAAAATGAATTGCTACCTAGAAGGACCTAGAATAATGCTTGGCACTTGATAAGCATTCAATAAGTATGAGCTCTAACCATTAATATCATACTCATCATCTCTGATATTGGTTGCTAAAATAGCTGAGAAGAGATATCTCAGTCTCCAAGTATGAGAGAGGATTCCTATTCTGGGCCACAGGCCATCCAGCTCTCTGCTGGCATTGCCTTGAGAAAGGCTGTGATAAGACTCAGTTTCTACCCCACATGCTACCAACTCCTTTTCGATTTAAGAAATATTTAGCAAACATTTCTTAAATGTGCATGTATCTGTCATGCACCAGCCACTGAGAATGCAATTGAAACCCCAGTGTCAGCTGACGCCAGAGCCCTCATCTTCATAGTCCCTGTAACACCTCAAGTGCGTCCTGGTCCTTCCAAGGGCAATAGTGTACTTGCAGCAGCAGTTCCTACCCAGAATCCTCTCCTGCTCAGGCTGTACTGCAACCTAGAATACCGGGGAGGGGGCAACATGGCCTCTCCTGAGAAGGATACTGCCCAGTGCCCAGGGATGCTTGGGATGCCTCCAAGTCATGCTCCCAGAGAGGTAAGGAATACTTTTCTTCTGTACCAAGAGTTGGCAAACTTTTTCTGTCAAGGCCCAGATGGTGAATATTTTTGACTTTGTGGGTCATACAGCCTCGATCGAGTCTACTCAATTCTGCAGTTGTAGCAGAAGCAGCTATAGACACTATATAAACAAATGTGTGTTTGTGTTCCAATAAAGCTTTATTTACCAAAACAAGTGGATGGGTGGTTTTGGCCCAAGGATTGTAGTTTTCATACCCCTGATTTAGACCCCGAAGCAGCTTTGTTTTGAGCCCAAAGTTTTACAGATGGTCCTCTACTTACATTTTATTTAGAATTTTTTGATTTTACAATGGTGTGAAAATGATCTGTATTCAGTAAAAATTGTACTTCGAATTTTGAATGTTGATCTTTTATTTTTATTATAAAATGTGTATGTTTGTCATTATAAACTAGACTTTGTGTTTGATTATTTTGCCCAACTGTAGATTCATGTAAGTGTCCTGCACATGTTTGAGGTAGGCTAGGCTAAGCTATGGTGCTCAGGAGGTTAAGTGCATTAAATTTATTTTTGATGTACAAAAATACCCAGTCAAATACCCAGTCTTAGGAGCTGAACAAAAAACAGGCAAAATATTGTTTCCTCTGTGCTCCATCCATGCTCTAGCACTCTTCCTGCTGCACTCCCCCAATCAAAACTCTTCCCTCCTTGACTGGGTGCAGTGGCTCACACCCATAATCCCAGCACTTTGGGCGATCGAGTGGATGAAGTGCTTGAGCCCAGGAGTTCAAGACCAGCCTGGGCACCATAGCGAAACCTACAAAAAAATTTTTTTTTAAATTAGCTGGGTGTGGTGGTATGCACCTGTAGTCCCAGCTGCTCAGGATGTGGAGATGGAAGGATCACCTGAGATCAAGCCTGCAGTGAGCCGTGATCCTCATTATCATGCCACTGCACTTCAGGGTGACAGAGTGACACCCCGACTCAAAAGCAAAACAAAAAGACTCCTTCCTTCCCCGTCAATACATACAAACAGAAAATCAGAAAACAAGGACGGGGGTGAGAGGAATGACAGAGGAAGTGTCACCTACACTAGCATTTTCAAACTGCAGGTTGCCATCCATCAGCGTATAATAAAATCAATTTTGTGCACCACAATAAAGATCTTTTAAAATTGTAGATAGCAAACTAAAAAACCCAATCTTGACTAGGAGCCCTCATGTGGTATTATGTTGTGAAGTTTTGTTTCACCAAACATCCTTCTATCTCTCTGTCTATCTATCTATACCTATCTATCATCTATCTACACACACACGTGTTTGTTGCTGGATCGTGATATAACATGTATTTATTACTGTACGTTGTGACTTTAAAAATGTTTGAAAGCCCCTGGAATGTACTCTGAGCTGGAGACTCCACTTTGATAGCCATCATTTTTCTTTCATACAGAGATGAAAGACACAGCCCTTGTCCTTAAAGAACTAACTCTGGGTCATGGGGAGAAATTGACAGCAAACACTTAAAGCAGAACGAGACATGGGCTCTGAGATGGGCGCACACACAGTGCTGAGGGGGAGAATGGCCAGAAAAGTGGCATTTGCTCTGGGTCTTGTGGACGGAATAGGGGTGTGTTTGGCAACCGGGAAGAAAAGGGCAATCTGGGAACAACGTGTACAAAGCCATGAAATGACTCCTCCTCCTCATATCAGACCCCTCACAGGTCTGTTCTCCGAGTGAAGCTGGGACCTAAGCAAATATTGTGCTTCTGGTTTTTCATTTGCTTTCCCTGAAATCAAACACACCGACCAAGTCATGAGCAAACACGGACTAGGGTCACTCTGGTCCCTAACTTGTAAATCTCTTTGACCGCTGACCCAGCTCAGGTTTTTTTAGGTCCGCTTTCTGGGAAAATGTTCAACAGTCTCACCCTAAGCAAACTTTTATGATGCAGAAAGCTGCAAGCCTGTGTGTAATATCCTAGGGAAAGGCTGGGGAAAGGAAAAGAAAACTGTTAAAAAGGTTGTTAACCCATTTGGTGTTAGGCGGCCCAGCCTTCGTAATTCCCATCATCTGGCTGTCAAGACCAATAAAAGGATCTGTCCATGATACAGCTTACTAGGCTGAGCTTTAAAAGCTGTAACTGCCCCCTCTAATTTTAGCCTCAGTCAACTCAGAGGATGCGAGACAACCAATAAATCTTAACAGAGGCTAGGAGGATGTGGAACAAGCTCAGGTCCAAGGGACAGAAAGCATGTGTGAATTGTAGTTTGATTGCTTTGAGAACGAGTGTCATTCCGTCTTGCTCAGGCTTGGGGCCCCTGGAAAACAGGGGTAATAATCATCTCTCAGAACTGTATTGAGACCAAGGCATGAGGACATTTTGTAACCTGTTACGTGGCAGATATTAGATAAGTTTGATATTACTAACCCCTTCTAGGACAGCCATTAAGCCACATGCTGTGGCATCCATCAAGATTTCCTTAATGAACCGAATAAGTATGAACTTCAAAACTTGTCTTCATATGCTTTCTATCTGTGTCAGCACCATAGACACCTTGAATCCAGAGCCTCTTCATAGCTATTTATTCATTCAGAGGACAATTATTGCATCCCTGTTATGTGCTGGGCATCCGGTCTAGGGGCTGAGGATCCTACACTGAAGATGACATGGTCTCTGGCCTCAGGGGACTTATGTCCCTGCAAGGGAGACCAGAAAGTACTGCACACTGACAGATCCTAGCATAAGCACTAGATTTTTTGACTCTCAAGTCAGCCAGTCAGGACCTTCTGCCTTTTCTGACAGAGTTGGCCAAAATGAGACAAACCAGTCCTTTCTTACAGCTGTAACATTCCATGTATATAGACCAGCTTCGCTCAAAAAAAGTTCTGAGTGAGCTTTATGTGTTTAAGGAATATTATCACAAAGAAAGACACCATTGTGAGCGGAATCACTGAAGCTTTCTGTTTCATGTCTTCCAATGGAAGCAGGAATTAAAACTTTCTGAGTCTACCCTTCTCTTCTCCCTTGCTGGTCACTGTTTCACACTGAATGGAAATGCTTCCCTTGGCCTCTCAAATATGTTCCTGGCTGTCTGAGCGCCAGCAGAGGGTGCACGTGGCTCTTGTTGAAGTCCTTCATTCCTGAATTTGAGCGTGAAGGAATTTAAATTGAGTTAAACCTCCCCAAACAAGAAGTCTCTCCACAGTATTTCCTTGTGTACATTCTGCTTATAAGGAAAAGGGAGGGGAACTCGGTATATTCTTCTTTAACAAAAAATATGTATAATTATTTTTATAGACACATATTTTGCAATGTTTCCCTTTTAGGTCTGTACACCAAATGTGAATTTTAATAAACTATACAGAGGCCCTTGGCCAGATGAGTGTGAGAAATGTTAAATATTAGATTATTCAGTTAACTCACCATCACCTTCTGTTTCCTGTTTATTCAATTAGAAGGGAAATAAATTTTTGTGCTTTTTCAAACCCCAAATTTTTAACACTTAAAACATAAAGAAGTCTTTCTATGGCTATGGTTGCTGGCCAAGCCACTATGCTGAAAACTTTAATTTTTATTTAAGAGTGTCTGATGAATTTGGGGAGAGGATTGGGTTGGGATTTCAAATGCTCAACAAATAGTTAAGAGTTAATATTGCCTTTTCTCTGACTTCAGTATTGCAGATCAGGAAATAATTTCTTTCCTGGTAGGTTATTGATTCTCTTTCATAAAGAAGGTTTTTAAAACTTCTGTTTAAACAGAAGGGGAATAAAAGAACTGTAAACAG